GCAAATAGCTGCACTATGAATTAGAGGTGAATATGGTTTTTCATAGTTAACATTTTTAATTGAATAAACATATATAATAACGACCTTTACATATAATAAACATTTCCACATATCTCCAATAGCCACCGGACTCTCTTATCAGTTGCGTGATATGTCAGCTGTTTGGGATTCCCCTCTGTTCTGACGTCACCGCGCTTTCTGATTGGCTACCTGTCACATTCAACAGGTTGTATTCTCGTTCCCAGTTAGGGAAAACCCCACAGGCTTAAATGGGGTTTTTAAGTGGGCCAAGACAACCAAATTGGGTATATTCAGGCTTTAGCTGGAACACCAACATGCAGAAGCCTTATCTGACGGTCATTCTTTTCTTTTTGACAATGAGTTGACTGTTTCATTGCCAAAAATATAAAACAAGAAAATTATTTGAATTTTCACATTTCATAATCCCGAATTCATTTTGTAGTATTTTCAGTTTGAGAACGAAATAAACACTCAAATATGTTTTTCAGAACTGATTCCTAAAAAAATATCTAATGACCAAAAATGTGCCGAAATGATCATTTTACAAATACAATAGTTTTGATCAAACGTTAATGATAGCAGTATCAGACCTTCATCACATTTGAATTTGAAGGGATTTGAGGACTTGAAACAAAACATTTTATAGTTGGAAATAAACTCTTTAAACCAATCATCTTCCTAATTACAAAATTAGAAATACTTAGTGTCATGCTACTCCGTAGAGAATTAGAAATATAATTATGGAGTAAGATTACTAAAGTGACTTTAAATATATGGCTATATGTGTTTCAAACACTTTGTTCTTACGTATTATTTCAATGGAAGCCGCGTCGAATGTGACATTCAAAGTGATGTTGGGGTTATTCACAGCCTCCTTTAGTGTTGCCTGAACCTCTTCAGCCTTTGGGACTGTCGTAGCTGGTGTGGTTTTATTGAACTCTACGCCCACCTCTGCTTGAGTACCATTCATTCGTAACCTGGTGAAGGCCGGTCTGAAAAAAAAAAAAAAGATCTCAAACTGATTTCAAATATTAAAATTCTATGCATGTGGTGGAAATAAGAAATTAGCTGTAATTTGTCTTTCAGATTGCTTTGTTCCTTGTTGGTCATTACCACTATGAATGTAAATAAAACATACAAGTAGATTAACTTAAATAATGAAGTAAAAAGCGAACATACCTGAAGGCAATGATATAACTCCGAACGAAGAAAATTCCATATCTTGCTCTGTAGATGATATCATACTGGAGAAGAAAAAACATGTTAAAATTCACAGTAAAATAATCCTCAGATTAAACAATTTAAATACCAAATGTTTTTAAATGATCCACTCACCACTGCTATCACTCTTACTTCAAGAGTTTTGAACTGCACACTATTTCTGTCATTGAGCTCTGGAACAAATGGTTCAACCACAGTTGCTGCAACAACAAACACTGGAGGAGGAGCTTCAGTTGTTGTAGTTGTAGTTGTCGCAAGAGTAGTTGGTGTTGTTGTTGGAGTAGTCTTTGGTTTGGTTGTAGCTGCTGTTGTGGTTGTAGCCGCTGTGGTTGTGGTTGTGGTTGGAGCCGTTGTGGTTGTGGTTGTGGTTGGAGCCGCTGTGGTTGTGGTTGTGGTTGGAGCCGCTGTGGTTGTGGTTGTGGTTGAAACCGTTGTGGTTGTGGTTGGAGCTGCTGTTGTTGTGGTTGTGGTTGGAGCCGCTGTAGTTGTGGTTGTGGTTGGAGCCGCTGTAGTTGTGGTTGTGGTTGGAGCCGTTGTGGTTGTGGTTGGAGCCGTTGTGGTTGTGGTTGGAGCCGCTGTGGTTGTGGTTGGGGTGGCTGTCGGTGTGGTTCGAGGCGGTGTGGCTG